ATATATATATATGTATGTGTATATATATATATCACTGTTACATAATTCAAATGGAAATATTTCAATATGCCTGCAGTTCTTTCTCTCGTATTTATGTAGCATTATGTTAAAAGAATCACAATGAACTTAGGAATATAGTTATGCAATATAAGTCCAAATATGTGGCAATTATGGTGATTTACTCCCTATGTACCTTGGGTTAACTTCTTCACCTCCAACCCGAGTAGTTCCCAGCCCACCACCAAGCCTGCGAGGTCGCCAATTAGGAACAGTTCTTCCACGTTCAACATCCACAAGAACCCTTTTGTTATCAATCTTCTTCCCATCAGCTTGTTTGTATGCAGCTGCATAGGTACAAGCACAAATTACAATAATTAGTTCTAGAACTGGGAAACAAAAGGAAACGGAGAAGTCCATAAGAATAAAAGAGGACACCTTTCATATCACGCGTATGCATATACTCGATGAAGGCATAGCCTCTAGGCTTACTTGTCTCTCTATCTGTAACCAAACGAACCTGAAACTCGTAGGAGAAGCTGGTAAGCTACAATTACAGAAGCAGGGCCTCTGTGCAGAGAAAGAGCACGTTTATAAAATTGTTTTTAATTTCATTCTACTACTAGAATAATAAAAAGCCTATCGGCACGGCAGCCAGGCACTATGCCTAATTAGCCGTGCTCACCTTTCAATCATACAGCTTCCCAGGCGAGATGCATCACTGTCACAGCTAGAGTTGCAAAAACCATGTGCCATTTTACCAGTTGCCATATATACTAACGTCCCCTTACCAGGGAAGTTTTTAATATAATAATAAATTAACTATAAATAGCTAGTCAATACCGAGATACCTTCCAAATGGCTGAATCATTTTTGGTAGCCTTTAAAATCCAAAAGTAGAACTTTAGTATCAGGAAAGGCAGCATGTACTAAAAGTAAAAAAGAGAGAGAGAGATGCTAATACTCCCATCACATTTTACCTAGTGCAGGAAAAGTTGCCCCTCTCCAGGTTGCTTGAAATAATGGCCAAAAGGCAAATATAGATCACTGCTCTTCATATATTTACATTTTCATGATTTGGTAGGATGAAGCACCATCTTTTCAACTGGAATGGTTCCATTGGAGAAAATCAATGAACCAAGAGCCAACACGGGATGAATTTTTTCTCTCTTACCCAGGATAATACTTACATTTCCAATCCTATGGCGAGGATCAGTACCTAGAAACTATAAGTATCTAGTCCTAAGGAGGATTCTGAGTCCAAGAAATTCAGAAGTGGGAGAAAAGGATTAGTGAAACAAACCTAACTGCATTCAGTGACACCAAATAAAACCTGGAAATAATTCCAATTTTGATTAGACCATTCAACTGTTATTTAATTGCTGGTTATCCTAAACATGGTAAAAATGCCTAAATCCAACATACACTGTGAATGATGAGCAATGCCAAACGTACAATTTTAACATATTATTGCTGAAAGCAATTTTTTGTGAACAGTCTGACTAGATGTAAAACATAATACCATTAATGAACATCTCAACCCTCGGAAAGAGGATATGTCCTATATTTTACCATGTTATGCAGAAAAAAAATTACTGCCTCGTGTGTTACTAACATGTATGATGATTGAAATCATTATATCACAACTATAACAAACATGAACTCAATTTTAGTTCACCTGTTATTTTCATTATTTTTAAAAAGCAAAAATAAAAAATAATGAAACATATTTCCATGAAAAGATGAAAAGAAGGATAGGACACAGCCACCACATGTGAAACTCTTACCGAACCAGAAGCCAGTATAACCTGAGCCCCATATTGGGTTGCTCTATAATACCTACCCGCTTGATAGGCCCATAAGCCTCAAACTCCCTTTTGATTCTGCTCTCTGTTGTCTCATAATTCTGCAAAGATAACATATCAAGTCAACCAATGGAAGTAATAAACAGTAACTAAGATTCGAATTTAAAAAAAAAAAATATTACTCACAAGTCTAGCAACAAACAACGTTTTGTATGGATCTCCAGAAATGTTTGGATCACTGTTTGGGTCATCTGCATAAAATGGCAAATAGTAAGACATGATTGTTAAATCCAAGAAAATCCAAATTCTTTGATCTTTTCTTAGTTTTAGTAACATAGAAGATAGAAAGCCTCAAATCACATTTCTCCAGCTCCTCGGCAGCCTTTTTTGCACCCTCCTCTAGCCGTATCTTGTGTATCCTAGCTTTTCTTTGCGCCTGAATGTATCAAAAGAATATTATTGCGCGCATAAGTCCAGATGTATGGTTTGAACATAACTGAATGCATGTGACACTTCCTAGCAAACTACCACCACAAAAATGCAAGGATGTGTGGTTTATTCTCGTACTTGCCCATATTGACCATTAATATAAATCAACTACACTAAATGTTTATCACAATGCATAAGAGCAATTCTCGTCTCCACAGAGTGAAAGAGTCGCAACATCATTAGTCATGCATAAGCTTCATTTTCCAAAAAAAAAAATGAAAACGATTAAACCTAATATTAGTGCATCAATATTGCTGATATAAATCACATTATGCCAACTAACAATAAGCTTGCAGAAAGTTTCCAGAAATATAGCTACCATGCAAAGTCATCTATATTCCATGAAGTCATGAGCTGCTGCATCAAAGCCACTTTAGATGACAAAAACATTAAACCTTAATTTAAAGCTACACAACGAAAAGTAATATTCATGAAAATTATATTTTAAATCATCTTTCTGACAGGGTGAATAACAAAAAAAAATCCTCCTGCGCATGCAATACGGACAATCAGGTTATTTAATTAAAAAGACGAACGATAAAAGTTTTATCCAACTTGTGCAGGTACTTAAAACACAAATAGACCTTCATCCTATATATGTAAAGACACCCACTCACAAGGAAAACCTTCACCATGGAAGCATATCTTCACCTTTATGCGAAAATAAAACGTATATGAGATTTGTGTCGGATAAAATCTTACAGGAGTCTCAGCCTCTTGGACAGGTGGAGCATATTGTGGATCACCAGGCTCAGCAAAGTTACTAACAAAATGTGCCATACCTGTCAAGCAAAAAAAAAATTCCTGTAAATATATGTTAAGTTGACATATTCCAACTTAGTTGAAATCTTCAGCAAGCTTAAAGCAACACACCCGTATATGGGGGGCATTTCCTTTTCTCTGGTACTGGCTTATATTCCAAAGGGGGCCGGGGCTCAAATAGTTTCAGAAGATTCGGCGTCAATCCAGTAGGGTGACTTTGCCCAATCTGCATACACAAATAAATAAGTCATATGAATATACGGAAATAGCTCATAGCATAGGGTTCTAAGTCACAAATATGTTTCTATAACACGGAGGGAGGGAGGGAGGGAGGGAGAGAGAGAAAGAGTTAAAGCAATCAGAATATCAACTCAACCACTTTATTCACATTAAACAAAACCAATTTTGCTGCATAAGTTAAAAACAGAAGATATTGACACCCAACGTCAATCATATTAAGTTAATCATGTATCTGTCTTCCACTAAATATACATACTAACATCAAATTCCCTTAAACCATCACCACTGAAACTGTTCTTGGCGGCAGAGTTTATTATGACTTCAAGCTAAAAACAAACTACAGCTCCGTTAACTCATTCAGCTTTATCCAAAATCATCAAATGTCTAGACACTAAATATAAATAAAAAGCTAAATATACAATTAAAATCAAGGCATCAATTCACACTGTACAAAAACAATAATAACCCGTCTATAACGTCATCACAAGTGGCTAAATTGAACCCTAAAGCAATTAACAATAACTTGACTCCTATCAAACCCAGAGAAAAACAGCTCAATTCAAATTTATTCTCATTATTTCAAGTAACTAACAACTGAAAAGATAAAGCCGAGTAAAAACAAGCAAACAAAAAGCCAGGAAGTTAGGATCCGTACAAGCTTGAGTTGCATAACATTGTTACGATTCTGGGCCTTGGCACGGGCCTGGACGGCGGAGTTTGGGTTGCGTAGTAAGGCGTCGTTGTAGTCTCCCATCGATCTGAGCTGCCGCCTCGGGGTTCCGGAAGAAGGAGATCTGATCGGTGACCGAACGGCGAAAATTACGCGCTCGCGTTTTTATACTGACTTCTGAGTATTTTCTAGAATATCGACAGCAGCTGCGTCAAGCGGCATCGAAATCTGTGGTTATAGACTGGAAGGGTTTTCGAATTTGGGGCTTCTGTGGTATTTATGAAGACGAGTTGGACGGTTAATGATTTGACTCGGTTCTAACTCGCCGGCTCACGAGACTATTCGTTTCTTATAAAATAAAAATAATTTATAGTCCATTTGATTGTCAATATTTTTCATGAAAAATATAATTATTTTCATTCAAAATTTTATTTTTGTATTGTTTGATTGATATTTTTCGATGAAAAATATTTTTTACTTTTGGTCACATGACCATATTTATTTTAGAAAAACATTTTCATTACAAGGAGTTGATTTTGATTTTTCACTTAATTCCCTCTCTCTCTCTCTCTCTCTCTCATCTAACTCCTCTCTCCCTCTCTCTCTTTACTACCCATAGTAAAAAAATGGATAAGTATGATATTTTATAATTTAAAAATTAAATCAATCAAATACATTTAATTAACAATTTTCATAAAAATAAGTTCTAGACAATTTAATTGTCAAAAATTTATTTTCTTTCCAATCAAATTCCGTGCTTGCAATCAAATACGCCCTTAGTGTAGATTAAAATCAGAATTTTAGCATATTTTATGAGCTTGTTTGGTACGGATTAAAATATGATTTCAATATAAGTTAAAATCAAACAATCAATATTAACCAAAATAATTATGTTCCACCAGATTAGTTTGTACAGATTCAATACAGGTAATAAAAAATAAATAAATAGCAAACACGTGGCTGGAAGGGAAATAAAATCGGATGGTGGTAATAAATGGAAGGAAAACGTGCGATCTTGGCTCATTATCCCCAAAATCAACAAAAACCAGTCTGAGGGAGGAGAGTGGAAAAATCGATGAGGTTGGAACTTCCAATCGCCGCGAACCTCCTATAAAATTCGGGCGATCTTGGCTCATTATCCCTAAAATCAAAGAAAAACGGTTGGGGTTGGCAAGCATTCCAAATCGAACCATTCGCGAACTGCATCGTTGCTAGCCGCTACGAACTCGAGCACCGGAGTCGTCATCTTGCCAAGTAAGGTTCTTCTATTTTGGTTTGTTGCATTTACTGTATGGGTTCACATTTTATTTGCATAAAAAGCTAAAAATAACATGCTCCTTCTCTATTCCTCTACAAATATTTGCAAGCATAAATTTACCTGGCCATTCTTTTTGTCATTGTCTTTAATATTTGCAAGAGAATTGGAAAATGCTATTTGGAAGAGAATTGGAAAATGTTGCCTATGTTTGTCATTGTCACTTTCGTTTTATTAAGTTCCTGAGGTTGGAACTTCCAATCGCCGCGAACCTCCTATAAAATTCGGGCAATCTTGGCTCATTATCCCTAAAATCAAAGAAAAACGGTTGGGGTTGGCAAGCATTCCAAATCGAACCATTCGCGAACTGCATCGTTGCTAGCCGCTACGAACTCGAGCACCGGAGTCGTCATCTTGCCAAGTAAGGTTCTTCTATTTTGGTTTGTTGCATTTACTGTATGGGTTCACATTTTATTTGCATAAAAAGCTAAAAATGACATGCTCCTTCTCTATTCCTCTACAAATATTTGCAAGCATAAATTTACCTGGCCATTCTTTTTGTCATTGTCTTTAATATTTGCAAGAGAATTGGAAAATGCTATTTGGAAGAGAATTGGAAAATGTTGCCTATGTTTGTCATTGTCACTTTCGTTTTATTAAGTTCTAGTGTCCGACTTAGTGATGTGTGACATTGCCTTACTCGAAGTTCTCATTGGCTAGAGAGTTTCATGAAGTAGGACGACCGTGATACCTAGATAGCCTATTCCCTAAGTCATCACTTTTTTTTTTCCCTTCTGTTGGTGGTGATGGGAGGAGCTGAAGTCGATGAAGGCACCATTTCACTTTTGATCAGTTATAAGGGATGGTGTTAACATCATACATGACATTCTTCCAATTTGATCATGATAATGTTTTCACATGAAGGCTTCTGTTTACCAGCCTAACAAGATGAGCCCTGTTGATCGAGCTGCAGCATTAAGCTTTTTCACTTTTTTGACAAAGAAGTTCCTTTGAGTACTTTAAAGTGAATCTCTGTATAATTCGAGGTGGCATTTTGACATTGAACACCAACAAAACTTCTTAATATTTTAGTTGCACATAGCTATAGAGATTTTTTCAATAATTTCTTCACCTTGCATTGTAATCTTAATTGTGGCTCAAGTTTACAACTCATGATGTTAATGGATTGATTTGGTCAGTTCAACCAATTCCAATCTCTTTAAACCTAACCTACTAACAGGTTTTGACTACGAAATGTAACTCTCTTGGATTGGAAAATTCTATTTTGGTTTGTTGCATTTACTGTATGGGTTCATTGATTTTTTTAGGTTGGTAATTTGCAATGTTGAGATTGTTTTGTTGTGTTTATTTGGTTCTCGAAACTGATGTTGGATGGTTGATTGCCGTTGTAGAATAGAAGGAAAGAATTCTGAAATTTGTTAAGGTTGTAGATCAAAGGGACACTTCTTTGATGAATGCCAAAGTAAGCATTGTTGCCCGGTTTGTAAGAGTGGATTCCAGAAGTGCTTTGAGGTGGAGAGAGAGACCGATAACAAAGGAAAACTATTCAAATGCTGTAGTTAGAAATGCGATTTTTGGGAGTGGGTTGGAGAAGGAGAATCAAGTAGTGAATCAAGTGCCGTCGATAGCAAGGCAAATCCTGCATCAGAAGAATCAGTGTCAGATTTGTCGTGCATGTTTCAATATCAAATTCAGCTCCCTGACGAAGAAGAGGTCCAAATTTCTATGAACACGAACATGACAATCCGCAAGGGCAAAGCAACTGTGGAGAAGAATGAAAAATAAAAGTGGCCGGCTGCATTAGTAGCCCCATATTTTAATAAACGCTGATGTTATGTATGTTTGCATTTGTATGACTCTTTGTAGCAAACTTCATGCCCACTTGGTGGAATTTATGTTGTCAATTATGGACGGCGGAGTATTATGTTTGTACTTTTACATTGTTTGCTGATTTGTTTCATTTCACAAATAAAATAATTTCTTGCAATTTGATTTCATACAAAGATATATGGTTCTAACCTCAGGTTGTGCAACCACAGTGGCTGACCCCTCAGGTGCCCATACCATAAGTAGGTCATTTCCTCACACTTATGGTCAACCTTTAGCACACATTATGAGGGAAATTGCCAAGGCTCCTGATGCCAAAAATAAGGGAGAAGCTGGGGTAGCCAACTCATTTACTTTTCACCAAAATTATAACAAACAATGCTAATGAAATTTGGCAGAAAACTTGCACATTTCCATTGAATCGATAAGAGCATAACTATAAAATGTATGGTGGATTTTCGTTAATTAAGCCACAATTACGTCTACCTATAAATGATTAGTTACAATTTATAGCCTAACAAATACTACATGCACATGAATACTCCAATAAATGCTATGGATATTAATGTTCTGATTTTGTTTTCCTAATAACTTAGAAATCACTAATTTAATTTATTCATGCTTCAGAAAATGAAAAATGTTCACAATAGCATTCTCAAAAAGGACAAAAAATAAGAGGACATGTTGGAACAAAACCAATCGAAGCATGTCATCAAAAACTAAGCATCCATTGATTCGATTAATTTAAAACTGCAAATACGATGACGTTATTGGTGTTGCATCTTGTTGATGTTGAGATGCTTGAAGCTCCTGTGTACCAACTGGAGTAGCACTCTGACTCGATTTTGGTCTTTTTCTTTTGCTCGATATCGACGTTGCCTGCATATTAAAACAAGCGTATGAGGATTTGTTCTAACAACTAGGTAGAATATGAATTATAATATTTTAAAATACCTTCACTTTCTTCGAACTCAACTCCAACGGGCTTTTACTTCGAAGTTTCTTTGGTACACCATTTCTTCTCGATACGACAGGGTCCCATATGCTCCCGCTCAAGGTATTCTGCGACACACTACATTGGGTGCCTAATTGTACCGTATGGTGTGCGAGGACATTACTGGTTGTACTCGTCCCTGTCAACATAAGAACCTTACTCTGCGACTCGATCCACTCCATTATGGCACGAGTATGTCTGTCATCATCAGCAACAAGTTCTGTCAACCCATCAAAAGTCTGACACATACTGTCATATCTCACCTGACTAGGTGTGCTAACCAACCCAACGTAGTTCACAACCACCCTCGCGTGTGCTCTACTAACATTTCTTCTCCATCGTCTCAGTATGTACCTCTCCAATATTGATGTGATGCAATTACGGATCAATACCGATATCGCATGCCTACAAATTATACCCCTGAACTCGAACAAGTGACTTGACAATTCTCCTTTTGAAATGAGACAAAAAAATGTTTTTTTCTTCATTCGCTCACCGCATGCCACAACTTCGCAGACCTCGTACATTGCCCCAAAACTATTTTCTGAAGTAGATATGAGGTCGCAATACATCTTCCCTATAAACTCTTCTTGAGCCTTCTTGAATTTTGAGATGGTATAAACAGATTGAAATTGTTTCTCCATTTCAAACATACTTACGCATGGTAGCATTTGTGAATATGACTTGAAATCAGCTTGAAATTCCTTTTCAACCTTATTTCGTAGTGCTCGCTCATATTATTCCACAAACTGTTTCAATGAGGTCTTTGAATGTACATACCTGTAAAAAAAATGCATTCATACTCTCACTTCTTTACGTTGTTGACATCCCTGCCCAAAAAGTGATTTTCAGAAAGCAAGGAACCCAACGCTTTATGGCTCTCGTATAGTCCAAACAACCAATCATTTTCATACAATTCAAACTTATTGATTATCATGATCCAACCTTCTTCAAACGCTTCAACGAACTAGGAGCCATACACCAATCCATGTATATCAGAAAATATAGAACCTTTATCAATATGGTACCTAAACTTCTCTGACAACTTCTTCAAAATGTGTCATAAACACCACCTATGGTTTGTATTTGAAAAAACAATTTGAATTTCATTTTGCATGACTCTATCTTGATCAGTGATTATTCCATGGGGAGCTACACCATGCATGCACTGAAACCATGTCCTGAACAACCACACAATACTATTTGTATCCTCATTCGAAAGCAAACCACAACCAAGCAGTGTTGATTGTCCATGGTGGTTGACGCCAACGAAAGGAGCAAAAGGCATATCATACTTATTTGTGAGATAGGTTGTATCGAACGTGACCACATCATCGAACTCCTTGTATGCTTGCTTGCACCTATTATCTACCCAAAATATGTGCTTCGACGGTGATTCATCATCCAAATCAATACTAAAATAAAACCCCGAACACTGTGCTTGCATATTTGATAAATACGTTTGTATTGCAGCGGCATCTCCTTCTCTGAGTCTCAACCATCTCACTTGTTCGATATAGTTTCGACAATTTTTTTCCACACAAGTCATATTTTCATATCTGCCCGCCTCAACAACTGCGGAGTTATAACTTTTGTGCAACGAAATTCCTGCCACATCGTTCACTTCAAGCCTCCGCTTCACCTGTGCACTCAATTCTCTATTGCATCGAAACAACCTGGATTTCGATGGGCTTGTTCCATGATTGTGGTCGAGGTGGACTGCATTAATTCTCCAAGAGCCATGATCATTTGAAGATGCACTTATCCTGGCCTGACAATCGGTTTGAATTGTTGGTTGCGACCTTACAGATCCGGTAGTAGTACTTGGTCTTCGACCTTCACAGCCACTAGTATATGTCATAAATCTCAAAACTCCACCGATCCCTTTTTTTGAATTCCTTTTTTTTTGGGAGAAAACATATGTTGTATGCATATTGTTTGTGCAATTCAAACATTTCATTATCACTGCTAAATATCATTCCCACCTTAGGCATGACGACACAATCACCTCCTAACATTTGATCTTCCACTACGTTCATATTCTCCGAACGATCTCATCCTCGATTTCCAACAAAAAATCATCAGTGCCACCTTCCATATTTTTTCCTGTGTCCGCAAATGAAGCAATAATTGTCAGCAAAAGACTCAATGTCATCAAAAAAACAAAATATGAATACAAAATCATTAATGCATGCGGTCATTTTTTTCAAGACAAATATACAAAAATCTATTAAATGGTACTCTGCCCCATTCTCTTGCAAACTATACAAGATTTGTGATGCTGGATTTATGTTTTAACTCCCTTAAAGGTAAACTTTCTACATTCGACTTCTTCAAATTCATTCAGCTTAGGTCAGTTTACCTGGGGAAGAATTTATGCAGTGGTAGCTAGCCAGCAAGCCTTTATTCATACAACTAACTGACTGTAATTTGCCTGATCGCTAATAAATTAAAAGGTGAGACTTCGGCTGGCATTCTGGGGTTACCATCTCTATCTTTCTTAGCCCTTTCTAATAACTTCCTAAACAATATCACAAGTGCAATACAAATCCTACTAGGACAACAAATTGAAGCCAATATGGAAATGAAGAAATATGCCAGACAACAAATCGAAGACAATGTTTTTTAAGTTAAATAACTACATTCATTATCATTCAATGTTTTTGAAGCAATGACATTTTTCATGGTTTGCAAACAACAAATTTGCTAAAATAAATAAGTGAAGAAATATGTCAAATTGGAAAAATTGCATCATTGAACAGTGTGGGTGACTTGGCTTCGACAGTGTCGACGAAGAGATGTTATCACATGGATGTTGCCGAAATCACTGTTGGAAGTGCTACCAGATTTGTAGAAACCGTCAGTGGGAATGAATGAGCGAGAGAGAGGGAAAAGGAGGGAAAATGCTGTGAAGTCTTCCAATTTGGGAGAAATTGCATGAATAGTGGTACTTGGAAAGTTTCTCCTGATTTTCAAATGAATTTTACTGTTCATTGATGTGCCAACTCAAGAATTAAAATATTGCCTATCAACATCCTGTGCAAATAAACATGTTCCAATAGCACTATTGTATTAACTACATCTTCCATGAGTCTCGTAACTTTTCAACCACACATTTCAAAAACTTCTATCACAATCTACTAAAAAAATCTAATTTGAATCCCTATCAGACACCCTCTATATAGATATAAGAATAAATCTTCTTGGACAGGGCCATCTAGCATCCTCCATAGACATAAATATGTGGTTGAAAGGATACGGTCTCATGATTTATGTGTGATTAAAAGAGTAATTGACACAAAACGACCATACCTTTCATGTCTATTATGAAAAACGTCGCTACCTTTCATTTTTTGATATTTTTTCCCCTACCTTCCACATTTGCTGAACGTCATTTTCACCAATTTTGGACAATTTTACCCCCCATTCAAATAAAAAAGAAAAGAAAAGAAAGGAAACAACTAATAACTAATTGAAACCACAGTCCCTAAATTTAAAAAAATTACAAATGACATCCAGTTTCTTTTCCTTCTTCTTCAAGTGTGTGAAGAACACCATTTGACTCCAAAATTTGGCAAACGAGTACCGTAATTTCTAAAATTGAATGATTACCCAGTGTTTTGTGGGCTTGAATTTGAGTTTCCCAAGGTTGATTCATATGTTGGGACACATTAGACTCACAAATTGATGGTGAATTATCATCTTTAGGTGCCTGCACATTTCGTGAGGTCAAATCCAAAATTGTTGCATTTGACTGATGCATTGAAGCGATTAAATCCATATCCAGTGTCGTTTAACCTTCAATTGCATGTTGATTGATGCAATTTGTAGATTGGAGTTGTGGAGCGATGCCAATTGAAAGGGGATCAGACAAGTTTCTATGCGTGTTCACTGTTTCTGGACGAACAGTCATTTCAACGCCAAATTGGGGAAGACCCATATGCGCAGTAGATGCGCCATGATGAATAGTATCCTGTAGTGGTGGTCGGTGATCATGGGTCCCACCACCGTTGCCGAAAAATGGCTTTGTCGGCCGCGACTTCGCTGACTCGAAAATTGGCTGTAGATCTCGATTTTCTGGGTTGTTTGCTGTAATTGGAACATGTATGGATGCGTCTTGGTAAGCTTGAGCAGCCTGTGGGTTGTATGAAATATGGGCATCCATGGATTTGGTGGTCGAATTTGCAATAATACCGTGCAAGATAAGCGATTTTTGGGCAAAAATTGGCTAGTTTTGCTAGGATTTGAGGCTGGAATTTGCGTGAGGATGTTAGGATTAATGAGGAGATGGTGGTGTGGTAAAATCCGGTGGTCTTGGTAATCGAAAATTGGGTTCCATGGTTATTGGCACCTATGTTGAAAATTTTGTATATATTTGTGATTGATTTGTAATTTTTTAAAAATTGGGGACTGTGATTACAATTAGTTATTTACTTATTTGTTGTTTCATTTCATTTCTTTTTCTTTTATTTGAATGAATGGTAAAATTGTCCAAAATTGGTTAAAAGGACGTTCAGCACCAAGAAAGTGGAAGTAGGGACAAAAATGAAAGGTAAGGACTTTTTCACAATAGATATTTAAAGTAGGGACGTTTTGTGCCAATTACCCGTGATTAAAATTAATTACTAATTTTGACTAATATCTTAATTTGATTTTGATCTACACCAAATAGGACTAAAGATTGCTTTTGGATTCATTTTATTTTGCTACATTTTTTACTTCTTAAAAAATGATTGGAAAGTAGATTTAGACGTTGACTGGAATTAAAATCGTATATTTTAAAATTAATAATTTATTTCAATCATATATTTTATGAAGTTCGCAACTTCTTAAACATGTATTTCATTAATTTTTATCAAAATTTATCAAAAAATCTGATTTTAATCTCCATCAAACAAAAACTTGATAATAAAAAAATTTATTTTGAAAGTAAAATTTTAACAAAATTATATGAATGGAAATTGACACAAATTGTCCGTAACCTACGAGGTTGCTATCCAAATGGTATCTAATCATCAAATCTTGACGAAAATAATTTTAACCTTGCGCTCCAGGGAATTGGTCCTTTTGGATGCTTACATTCGATTAACCATTGAAAAGGTCAAAGCTTTGATTTATTTTTATTTTTAAAAAAATGCCACTAATTTTAGTTAAATATAAAAAAAATGATTAAAAAAATTTATCCAATAAACCAAAATCTTGAAAGACCATCTCAATGCTACATTGAATTTTTATAAAAATTGTCATATAAGCAAAATAAAATATATAAAAAAAAACTCATCCATAACGCAAGATGATAGTGACTTCGCAAAAAAAGAAAAAAAAAATATTTAGATAAAGGTAAGCCTCTATTTTACAATCATTAAAAATTTTGGAGAAAATAAATTTTGAAATAGTAATTTTTATCATAATGTATGATTAAAGAGTATGAAAATGTTTTGAATTTACGTGTAAAATATTTTATTGTGAAAATGTGATGTTTAAAATGAGTTTGAGAAAAAAAAGTATTATTTTAATGGTTGCCAAACAGGGCTAAATATCTAAAGAATTTCATTCTACGCAATTGATGTTAAAAAAAAAAAAACAAAAAAATCTTTAATGCATTTTTATGAATTGCTATTAGGCATCTCTTATTTTATTAAAATAATAACAAAATCACGTTTAAATCTACATATGAAACATAAGTTTTGATATGTTGGCATGTTTAACAGAACTTCCGAATCATGATAAAGCTCGAAAAGATGTCTTTCTTATTTGCCTCATAATCTCGACGGAGTTCTTATAAATGTGCATTGAAGATGAACTCTTTAAACACATTTTATTTCGCTTATACGTCATAATTCTTTAAACAATCCGCAATTGTATTTGGATGCTCTCGTGAGAATTGGTTGGTAGGATGAATTTGCTACTTTTTGTCACATTTTTTTGACTTTTATTTTTTATTTATTTTATCGTTATATTTATAATAACATTAAAGACAAATTAATCTTTTTATCAATAATTTGACCCTTTTAACTATCACAAGTTTGATGCCCCGTGCGATGCACATGTTGTCTTATTTTAAAGGTTTTAAAGCGTCTTGCATTAAGGATTAATGTAAGAATGAGAATGAAAAATATAGTTATTACGGGCCCTACATAAAAGATAGAAAGTCAAATATGGTGGTTTAATATGATATATAACGATCATATTTTTCATTTTAATGGGCAAATAATGAGAAACAAATAAGGGCTTAATAACATTAAAGATAAATTAATATCTTTATCAATAATTTGACCCTTTTAACTATCACAAGTTTGATGCTCGTGCAATGCACAAGTTGTGTTATTTTAAAGGTAATATTAAAGAGTCTTGCATTTATGATTCATGGGAGATATATGCATTGGATTAGGACAATCAAATGAACTTAATTTGATTAAGTAAATTTTCAAATAATATCACCTATAAAGTACAGTTATGAAGCATCTAAAAAACATGAAGAAATCAAGAAAACAACTCAGATATAAAACAATTACCAAACAAAAGTTGAGGGTATAAAAGGTACATGAACAACATGATAGTATAAATACATGTCCCTCCTGCAAATAGGGCAAGATCCATGTCTAAGCAGCCAAATATCAATGTAAAGCAGGTGAAACATGTTGTGGCACTGAGGCAAATTTCAAATAATTTTCTGACTTGGATGTCCTAAATGTTTAGAAGACGATACCATGAGATTTTCTTTCCAATCAGTTCAATTGATCAAAAAAGGAATCATTATCATTCGTGATTAACAGTTTTTATCTTTAACAGTTGTAATCTTTGTGATCTTTTCGACTGTATCTCCAGCCAAATTGTTTGTCCCATATGTGTAAAAACTGT